CTAAAGGAATTTGGGGCTAGGTGGATTTTTTAATTTTTGATGTAATCTGTCTGTTTCTGTTTAAAATCTGTTTTTCCGTTAACCAGCTGTCGCACCCCTACGAACAACTCTCAAAAGTCGAAACTTGTGCGAGCTAATGACTAACGAGGTCTTACCTTTTAACGTGTGATTCCTAACACGTGTTGGACGATAGCAAGTGAAAATCGATCGCTGAACTGACCAGCTATTTCCATGTATTTCTCAACCAATGTTACCACTGCGCCAACCCCAAAAAATGAACACTTTTGTCACTAGAGGTCGTTAAAATCGCCCCTTTCTCAGAATAGACTATTCATTTTCGAAACCGGGAACGACATTTTCACTTGTTTCATTATAGATAATGTTGCATATCATTATACTCTTTTATAAAGAAAATTATTTCCCCACTCTTCCCCCCACCATGTATTATGAAACGCAAAGAAATGCGGGGTCATTTGTCTGTTGGATCTATGTTTGAAGATATTGTTTGGAATCAACTTTTCGGAACTGAATTTGAAGCAGTGAATCTTGGTGGGGATATCTCATAACTGCACTCTAACATCTTCATTTAAGTCATGTGATATCGTCAGTTATTGAGACGGTATCATTCTCAGCAACTGCTGTCGTGGACTACAGGGTCCTCCATCTCTAGCTACACTTCCCTGAAATTTCGGAAAATCGAATCAGCAGAAAATCTTGCATTGAACACCGTTTCTGCCTCGTGAAAATTATTACCGGTTCGGCATGAATGAGGATGGTTTCTGTTTTTTCTCTGAAGATCTAGCGCACCATTTTTGAGTTGTAGATTTCTGGATTGGTGGGTAGTGCCACCAAAAGAACTATCGAGGCGTTTTTCACCTATTTTTTTTATTCACATGAGCCTAATGTTGATAGTTTATATCAATAGATAATCTTGTTAACCTTCATTACCCCTTAGTTGAAGTCAGTCTATTTTGTCACAGACACATATCTTATTATCATTTTCTTTTCATTCATTTCATTGATTTAAAACACAATGATAGTGTGAGATATTTGACGATTGGTTTGGAACAGTACCGATTTCAAATACCTACAACTTGACATAAAAACTTTCAAATCAAGGCTATGCTCAATACATACTGTTGAGGTTGAATTCTGTATTTACTGCGCTATTATTTACCTACCGGTTATTTTAGATCATTTACAACCTTTCGGCATCGTAACATTCGCTGGCAGTCTATGGCATAATGAGAATGAGGTAGATCGTCGAAATCAACCGCAATAAGTCAAGGTCAGTTAACATTCTTTCTTGGCTGCGAACGCCAAACATCTTACTGACCTACAATTTTCACTTCCTGTAGTGTGAAGAACCCAAGATAAGACAGCCACCCATGATGATTTGGTAAATTATTATGGGTACAAAAGAAACAAACCATATTAAAAAATCCTGAACAAATTTCGTAAACAATGTAAACCGGAGAAAAAATTAATATAATAAATGATCTGTCTCTTTCTGTCTTTGAGTATCTAATAAACTACAGTTTGGGAGCCATGGTGCTAGTCAACAGTTCTCTAGTCACAACTAAAAATTGATGCCATCCCTATGGACAGAACATTCTGTGAAAGTTATGAATCATTAATTTATACTTTTTTCAACATGAATTTTTCTTATACAGTTTTCGGTTTTCGTCAGAATGTCACTAATAGGTAAAATGTCCATGAAAGTGAAATATGGAAAATTATTGTTAAAAAAATGCTAATCCATTTTCCATAAAAATCATTTAAAGTAATCAATTCGTTTCAGTTTGGATTCTACGAGATTATAACACTCTTATCAAACTTTATTCTGCATCAAGTTGGGATTCCCCGGTATATCAAGTGCAGTAAAGCTCTCAGAGCTTTTGACCAAAGAGAGGAATGTTTCTAAAAGATTATTCCTTGAAATGACTTACATTTCGCAATCACAAAATTGTCTGAATAAAAAAACAGACTTACAACATTTAAGTGAAATATATTCCTATTTACTTTTTATAGACAAAAATTGGAATTCCTTCAAAGACAACTCATTTGACATTACTTAAATTCATTTATCAACTTATT